CTGAGGGTGCAATTCCCAAGGGCCACTTTAGATCAATGCCCAATACTTTGCAGCGAGTATCGATGTTGGAGACATCACGCAGAAAACGCGGGCGTATACGGATTCTGAAATAATCAGTTAAATTAAAGATTGGATTAGCTTTATTTGAAAAACTATGTTGTCATTAAGAATCGAAATAGATATAGATAAGATATCTATTGAGAAATTAAGTGGGTTCTACCGCCAAAACCCAAATCCTTCCCAATCTTCTCGTAGTAGCAAAATAATTTTTTGTTTAGATGGCGTGCTAAAGACAGCGTAAATACCAGTAATTTTGATTTTTGTAAGACAAATTTCGCAGTAAAAGTAACGAGAGAGTAAGGTCCAAGGACGGTCGTATCGGCTTTAAAAATTATAACCATCGTTTTCTTAGACTCATAAGATGCGATTTACATACATGGATTACATGGAGTATGGAAAAAAGTGACAGCGCTCCGTTAAGTCGAAGTATTGGGGCGACGTGAAATGGCAAAGGATCCTCTGCGAATGGTAGGCACCTTGTCGTGGTACAGGGGCTTAAGCCGCGAGGTATACCCAGCTCCTCCCAACCGGTGAGAGTGATGCTGCATGGCAACTCCCACGACAGCCGGTTCTACGCATCGGATTTTATCCGGCGAAGGGTTGTTTTTTGGTCGATCTAACCCCGTTTGGATGGGTGAGTATTAATTTAAGTTTATTAAAGCTTCATGGCGCTGCTCCTGCGGGTTATGAGAGGACCAGTATGACGAGACGAATAGAAATCCGTCTGCCTTTGCAAGCAGTAACTTGAATAAAAATTTAAATATCCTAATGAAATTTGATACACTTGTGGTTTTAACGTTGTTGTGGCCCGCTCTATCATCGGTTTAGTTTATCTTTATATCAAAATCTCTCCTGAGACATTGTTCAAATATGTACCTTTGATATATTTTTGAAATATTTATATGATTGTTTACATTAAAAAAAAAATCGTAAAAAAACTTATTTGGTATGCCTCTGATACCCGCCTAATCCCTTAACAAGGGGTATTGCACCGCACGCCTTTAGGTGAAACCCTTGATCTCAGGAATAATCTGATCATTAGCAAACAAATCTGATTTGCGAGGCTACCCAAAAATACGTATGATAGGTATTTTTGGGTAGCCTCGCAAATCAGATTTGTTGAAATGAGCGAAATCGAATCACGTATACCTAATATAAATATTTTGGAACTTCCGGTTGACTTTATATTGCATCTATAGGTCAATATGTAAGAAATCCTCATAAAATTCAGAGAGAACATCTTTCTATAAATAATAATTCTCCTAAGCCCCCATGACTTTATAACATATTATTCGTCCATCTGTGGCGTTTCTCAATACCTGGTAATGCTATATCGTAATACAAGAACGGGATGATGTCGGTCAAAATGTTCCCTGTATCTGTATCTGAATATTAAAAACCCTTGAAATAATTATGCCTTTATAATATACCTTCTAAACACTTCACGATTCAAATTAAGTGTATATTGTTCACCAGCTCCGCTGCGATAATAGTCCAAAACGCTCTTCTCCAGCACACTATGTGCCTTCTTTTCAAAATCATCCACACAAACAAAAACCATTTTCTTTTTCAAATATATGTTTATGTATTATAGTATAAATAATATAATATAATATGCACCAAACGCACTAAATTTATTTTCGAAACGTTTAAAATGTAAATTGCAGTTGTTGAGTTCGTGAAAGCACAAAAAAAACTGTTCATTATTTCAGTTGTTTAATGCGTCGTTTGCTGAAGCTTTATGTTGATGATCGCTCTGAGTCCGTAGAATCCTAGGCTTGTTATCTCTACAATATGACTAGCACATCTAAGCAAAGGTCTGACTTTTGTGTATTTGATTAGGTTTTAATGATTATTATTATATTACGTTTGTTTTGAACAGATAACGCCATCTTCACGTTTTGATAATCAACAATAGTGAAGTGCATGTAACGAGAGTGCGCGAAACTTTCGCATACTCGTAATAATATCTAAAATGCATTCCTTTAAATTATGTCCAGTTATTTTTTTTTGTTCTTAGCAAAGCTATTTTCTCTACAATTATTGGTGTACTGACTGGTCTCGGTGTGGTTAAATATTTTGTACTGTATTTACTTTAGTCAGTTACGTGTATGGTACTTTTCCAAACAGTCCTTATTTTTTGCCAGACAAAGGGTAACCTTAAATTTTTGGCATCTTCCTTTTCATCGAGTTCCGCAATTATTGCGGCAAACCCTCGGCGGATCATCTGAAATTGAAGGCCAGTGGTCATAGCGATCATAACGTATGTCATCAGGTGCATCATGAGGTCGATATTTGGTTCCGTAAAAGACTTCAGGCAATTTAAAGGGTTCAATCTGATCAGGAGCTTCGAAGTAAGCTGCTAGTACAGTGCCAAGCTCCATTTTGAATGTTAAAATGGCTTGACTTTCGACTTTGGTAGTCCGGAAATCTTGCAGTCTCCTCTGTATTCCATCCATGAATTATATATTGCCAGATCAAGAAAGTGAAAAACCACCTTTACAGTCCATTTCTTTGTCCTCATTTTTAATCTGTAGTATTCGACCATTTGATGACACAAATCAACCCCTCCCATAAACATGTTATAGTTTTCAATTACTGAAGGTATTTCAACGGCCAACCGGCGTTTCAGATTTCTATTCCACCTCTCAACTTCACCAACGGGGTACTTTCCACATTTACTTGAAGCAACTAAAACCGCTTTTGTATCCTTCCATTTCACAAGAGCTATGTTATTATTATTTATAAACTGGCATATATCACCTCGATTCATATCTTTATCCAGAGGGAATTTAACACATTTAGGTATCCTGTTTGCCATTATTGTACCCGTTGCAGGATAATCCATTTGGTAAAGCGATTCTATGAGTGATATTGTAGTAGGCATGTCGAAATATATTTGGCAGCCTTTCGGTAAGTTTTTCATTCATCGCATAACTATAGATGGCCCATGTCCAAGACCGCAGTTTCAAATGTCGCTGCCCTTTGGAAGACTTCAAAATCTACTACAATGCCATTAGAAGTTGCGAATACAAGATTTTTAATCCAGTAAGCCGGGGTTTTGATCTGATTACTTGCCGAGCAGGGCATCTTCCAGTGAATGGTATCATTTGCTCGTCAATCGAGTAGTTTGTGATATCAGTTGCCAATTCATTGCAGGGCTCCCTAACCATGACTATGATGGGTTCAACTCTCCAAAATTTGTTCGTGGAATCTGGAACAGAAAAGTCTACAAAGTGTATGTCTGTCCGTAGTTGGAGAAATTTGTCTCGAGACATTGAATTAAATATGGCAGGAATTTTGCATTTCTTATAGCAGGGTAGCCAATGCAGCCCATTATGATTGCACACCCGTAAAATCGTTTTATATCGGCTGTTACATAACGAGCCTCTTGACCACGATTAGCCAAGACCTACTTCTCATAGTGGCATTCCGGAAAATAATTCTTTAAGTATTCGAAAGGTGTCTTCACCCTTTTTTGATTTTTTCAACCATAACTCATAGGAAGCTGTGTGTTCGGAAAGGGTGCATTTTTCCAAATTTCTCTCCTGGGAGGTGGATTAGGTATGGCGTTCGATGACGGTTGTATGACCGCTGGGCCCGCGAAGTTTCTGTTTCTTTGCTTTCTTCTCCACCAGCGTTTACGTTAAACGGAGTACAAGTTTCATCTACATTGTCATCATCATCACTGAAGTCTATATCAGATTAATGATTGATCTAAAATGTCTAGGACTGCTTCAACGTCATCACTGCAGGTTAACACATGAAAAATAAATTTTTTAGGTAGTTTACTGTAGTTAAAACCAGATCTCACAATTGTTATAGCTAGCTCTGAAAGGGTTATACGGTGCATCGATGCAATATTTCTATGCATCATATCGGATAAAAACATCGATGTATATTTTTGACTTGCATCAATACTTTGAATTTCGCGAAAAATTTTGCATATACGACAGAGACGAAACTCAAAGCTATTGGGGTATGTTAAAGTACAAGATGAAGATGGTTTTAGCAAGCAAAGGCAGCTTGGAGGGGTTTTTAGTGGAAAGGGTTTCCGTTTAAATAATAGATATAGAATAATAGTGATAGAGAAAACACCAACACAGATGTTTTAAATGGGATAGAACGGCGTTTTGAATTCGAATTGGCTTATATGTATGTCTTATACATTTAAATGAATTGTCTTTTCAACACCTATTTACATTTTTCGATAAATGGTTTAATTCCAAGCACTTGTATGGCAAAAAAAAAATTTGCCCTAAATTTTTTATTAGACAATATAAAAGTTTTATGTTTTCTTCAGAGTTGATTTTAAATCCATACTGCCAGAGAACATGTCACCTTCTTGATCGGAAGATTGGAAGACAGACTTATCCACTGATGTTTAGTGTTTGCTTAAAGTGGCTACGGCAGTATCGGATGGTTTTGTTACAATTGACTTAGCGAACACAAAACAAAAAAAAAAAAAAAAAA